GGAGTACGTTTTGTCGCCTTGGGATATTTGCCAATTGCAAAGCACTAACCACATAATCGCTACAGGATGGAGAAATTGTCACAGGTTTGGCCAGTAAGTATTCTATGCCCTGAGAATTGAGAATAGCGCACTAACAATTCGCCTAGTCACGCCTTCCGCCTCACACGCTATTGTCTGCTCGCGCTCGATGTCCATGCGAATCTACGGCCTCTCAACTTTCGACGAGACTTCCCAGACCATTGAAGCAAAACTTCTCCGAACCCTTAAGCCTCACACAGCTCCCGTCGTGACCATTGCTGTTGATCCTACTGGTACACTGCTTGCCACTGGTGGTGCCGATGGCTCAATCAAGGTCTGGGATATCAGAGGTGGTTTTGTCACTCACACTTTCCATGGTCACGGTGGTGTCATTTCTGCGCTTTGCTTTTTCGAGGTTCCTACTGCCGACAGCGATGCCAAGTCATCCAAGAAGAACAAGTCTAAGCAACAAGCTGCGGAGGACGATGATGAAGATATGGAAAGCTCTGCCCGTACGGGCTCTACTGCAGGATTCCGCCTAGCATCTGGCAGTGAAGATGGCAAAATGCGTGTATGGGATCTGCACAAGAGAAAGTCCATTGCGTCGCTCGAGTCACATGTTTCACTTGTCCGCAGTTTGTCCTTTTCTCCGTCAGAGAACGCATTGATCTCGGCCAGCCGAGACAAGACTGTCATCGTCTGGGATGCGCGTACTTGGAAGACTCGCAGAATCATTCCTGTTTTGGAGAGCGTGGAGGCTGCGGCTTTCATTGCGGATAGCAGTCTGTGCGTTATCGGTGGAGAAAATGGCAAACTGCGAGTTTGGGACTGCAATCGTGGAAGTGAGATCACAGAGGAACAAGAGGCTGGCGAGGAGTTCGAAAGCGTCGTCGCTATCCAGTATTCCCCTGGTTTGCCTTTTGTCCTTACAGTTCATGCGGATCAGACTCTTCGGCTCCACTCGCTCGAGTCGCTGTCTGATTATAAGCCAGGGTCAATTTTGAAGCCTTTGGCGATTATCCGCCGTATTTCCGGCAATGACGACGAGATCATTGATCTTGCTTACATTGGGCCTGATCGATCTATGCTTGCTTTGGCCACCAACACCGAGAGCATTCGTGTAGTTTCGGTTGCTCCCTCGGAAGACCGACCCTCAAATCAGGGAGAGGAGTATTTCGGTGCTGATGTCACACACCTGGAAGGCCACGACGATATTATCATTTGCATTGATGCAGATTGGTCAGGACACTGGCTAGCAACTGGTGCCAAAGACAATACAGCCCGTCTTTGGCGTATTGACCCGAAGACATCCTCTTATACTTGCTTTGCTATATTCACTGGCCACGCCGAATCGTTGGGAGCAATCGCCCTGCCGCGTGTGCCACCTCCTGTTGGCAGTGCCGCATATAACGACCCCTTGAACCACCCACCAGCATTTTTAATCACTGGCTCGCAAGATCGCACAATCAAGCGATGGGATACAAGCAAGTTAGCTCCACTGACAGGAGAAAAGCCACACTATCCTAAGGCCATCTATACTCGCAAGGCTCACGAAAAAGATATCAATGCCATTGATGTCGATTCTACATCTGAGCTATTTGCCTCAGCATCACAAGACCGCACCGTGAAGATCTGGGCCGCCGACGAAGGCTCGTCGGTTGGTGTCCTCCGTGGCCATAAGCGAGGTGTTTGGTCGGTGCGATTCGCCCCGCAGGGCACACCAATCATCAACTCAGATTCGCGTACTAGCACGAGCCGTGGACTAGCAGTCACAGGCTCTGGTGACAAGACCGTTAAACTGTGGAGTCTGTCTGACTACAGCTGTCTCTTGACTTTCGAGGGTCATACCAACAGTGTTCTCAAAGTCCTCTGGCTCCCACCCCCGCAGGTCTCAAACAACCAAACCGATGATGACGAGGATGACGAGGAGGCTACAACAGCACGCAAAAACGCCACCCAAGACCATCCTCTTATCGCCTCCGCGGCCGCAGACGGTCTGGTCAAAATCTGGTCCCCCTACACAGGCGAGCTCGAAACCACCCTAGACAACCATATCGACCGAGTCTGGGCGCTTGCCAGCCCAACCCCATCCGGCTCACGCGCAGACGTGAAGCCAATCTCCTCCAAGTTCAACACCACTCCCTACGCCCTTGCCTCCGGTTCTGCCGACGCAACAGTGACCTTCTGGACTGATACGACATCATCCACCTACACAGCCGCTGTCAACGCCAGCTCCGCTCGCGTCGAACAGGACCAAGAGCTGCAGAACTACATCCGCGCCGGTGCCTACCGTGAAGCCATCACCCTGGCCCTGCAGCTCAACCACCCGGGTAGATTGCTCTCGCTCTTCACCTCCGCCATCAACGCCGCAGACGACCCAACCCTCCCGGCTGAGGACCGCGAGTGCTCTGCAGCCAGTCTGTCCGGTAACCCGTCCATCGATGAGGTCCTGCAGAACTTGGACCCTGCCAATCTGCGCACTCTCCTTCTCCGTCTCCGCGACTGGAATACCAATGCACGCACCTCGCGCGTGTCACAGCGCATCCTGTATGCTCTGTTCCGCTCTTACCCTGCATCCACTTTCGTGGAGCTTGCGACCCAGTCCGTGCGCGGGAAGGAGGGTCGTGCCGCGGCTGGCCTGAAGGATATTCTCCAGGCACTGGCTGCGTACACTGAGAGGCACTACCGGCGAGTTGAGGAGCTGGTCGATGACAGCTACCTGGTTGAGTGGGTTCTCGGTGAGATGGATGGTGGGGTTGGACTTGGTGGACTGCGTGATTTGACTGTGGGCGATGTCAGCGACGAGGGAGAGCATGAGAAGGACGTTATTATGTTGGAAGCATAGTCTGGCTTTAGCCTTTTGCCCCGTTTGTACATTGAATTTGGCGCTTTCGTTCTTGGAGTACCATGGGTGGGAAGGATAAAAGCCATCTCTTTATAGAATTGAACAGTGTATCATGGAAAGTGTCCTTTGGCCAAAGCCATATATTTTGACTGTTCAGGGTATCTCTTTTTGGTTAAGTCTCATGGTAAAATAACTAGACGGAGGGAATATGCATCTCCAAAAAAACAGCAATTGGTCGTGTACAAAGGCCTCAATACCCTTAATCTTTAGCCAAAACATCTAGCCCCTAATCATCGCGATGACTCCGACGAGAGTCGCGATCACGATCTCGGTCTCGGTCTCTGTCATTCCGTGACGAGTGAGACGAATGCCGCGAGCTGCTGTATCTCTCGTCTCGAGATCGATGGCTGCGGTCCTTGTCCCTCTCTCGCTCTCCGTCTCTCCTTCGATCGTCCTTATCATCATCACGGTCCCGCCGACGGTCCCGGCCGTGGTCTCGATCCCGATAGGAACGGTCATTTTGTCTGCTTTTATCGTCATCGTCATATCGAGAGGAACGGCTAGAAGATTGGCGGCCACTAGACCGACTGCGGTCACGGTCACGTCGCGAGGACCCAGTCTTCCGCCGAGAACGATCCTCGTCATCGTCGTAGTCGCGTTTGCGGTATTCCCGGTCTCCATCCTTGTCCCGACCGCTCTTCTCAAGGTTGCGATCCCGTCGGTCGCGCCAATCGTCTTCCTTGGGAGGCTTGGACTTGGCCTCCTTTTGTAGCGCAGCGAGTTCCGCTTCGGTGAGATGCTCGCCGGTTTTCTTATTCCGCATCGTGATAGGCATGTACACACCCTCGGCCTTATCGTTCTCCTCCCCCTGTTTCCTTGACGCCTTGCGCATAGCCGACTTTCCCCAAGCGCCTAGCTCGGTTTCAGCTCCCTTACCGCCGGATGAATCCTTCGCGCCAATGCCGAGGAACCCAGGTCGTCGTTCTGGAACACGGGGGTTTTTCGCCTTGTCTGCAGCTGTGGCACTGCTGTAGTTTCCTCGTCCGATAGTTTGACCTTCCTTCCAGCCCATTCCTCGTAGTAGCGCCGCGCCGAATTCCTCGACGGGAATAGCATTGTAGGCGTCCAAAGTAGCAGGCTCAGGCCGGGATGCCACATCTGTTCGGAAGGATCCGAGCTCGCTGTAGTGGACTGGTTCCTCGTCCTTTGTAGCAGACTCAATCACAAGGTCTGACCTACGTTCTACCTCCCCGTTGGTTTCCCGAATCAGCGCCTGCATAGCAATCTGGTCGTCGGTGAGAAGCTTGGTCTCGACAGGTTTCGCATCAGGCATGGCCTGGTCTTCGTTCAGTGCTGCGCCAGTAACTGCCTGTTCTGCTGACTGCTGTGCATAGCTCAACCCGTACGCCACGCTGGGCGTATCTGTCTCTACTGTGGGCACTCCGGGGGGTGCTTGTCCGTTCTTTTGCGCTTCCTGCATAGCCTGTACCTCGCTAGGCAGCAAATTCTTCTTGCCTTTCTTCACATTGACTCCCGCCCGGTCGCGCCAGTTGTTCTTGCTCGTGACGGGGATGATCAGTGGCTTCTTTGCACCCGTTACTGTCTGTCCGTCCGCGGCAATGGCGACGCCTGTGTGAATGTCGAATCCTGAGATTTCCTCGTGGACCGGGGGGTTTCATCTTCGTCGGACTCATCAGCGTCGCCGAGCTGGTGAGGTCGCCGAGGCAGTGACTGGCCGTTTGCCGTGGAAGTTGTGGAACGGCCGCGATTTGAGGATTGGAGGTTGAAACCGGTCTTTTTCGAAGGACCCTTTGAACTAGATAAAGATATAGAGATTGGTTTGGAGGGTGGTTTCCCGCCCTCATTATTGTCGCACATAGACATTGCGATGGTACTTTGATTTGAAACAAATGGAGTGCTTAATAGGGAAGCAAGATCTCGAGGAGCAATTGATACTAGCTCATGGGCGGTGGCAAAATTGGAGGCGCGCGGCTAAATTGGTATAGATGGCGGTAATCTCAAATGCTGTGCCAATACTCCGTAGTGTTTATCGTCTTAGATGTCATGAGCTGCGCTAGGAATGTTTTAAAATCTGTGCTACCGCCTTCTGAACTGCTATACCGCCCGCTGTGTTAAGAAGAAATTCCTTGAGACTTGCTTCAAATACCTCCCCTCGGATGGGCAGGTCAATTTGTCAGAGGATGTTTCCGGCTGCCACAACGATGATGAACTCCGCCAACTAGCTGCCAGCATTGATGCCGGCTTACTACGTCCTCTTCTGTCTACGAGTGGGAAGACGCCTGTTATCACTCCCTCCCCCCGTATCAGCTTTGACGATTCGGTCGAAGACCTCAACTCCCTCGATATCACACCAGGAAATCGAACTGACCAAGAGCGACTTCGCCGAAACTGTCTTCGGCGAGATGGATTTCGGTCTACTATTACGAAGACAGGATTGTCACATTGACTAGTCACGACGGTCGCTTTCCTCTTCCTGAAGTCCAATACTTACAGTTGCATGCTGCCGTTGGCAACATCTTGCATGCAAGTGGCCGGGCAGAAAGCATTGAAAAGCTTATACGACATCTAGAAGAGAGCGACAGTTCGGTATTAGCGAAGGATGGCAGTACGAACATCAGCGATCTGCTCTCGGTCAGTGATCTTTCCTGCTAGCCTCTAGGAAATAAAGAGAATAAAATACTTCGTCAACTTCTTACCATTTGGGAGATACTAGAAGCCAGAATACGTAATAACTCGGTTGTTTATAGAATACTACATTAATCTACGGAGTAGATTTTAAAAGATTACGTAGTTATTCGTTCTTATGCTCTAGGTTAGTAAGAAGTAAGTACTCTATCTATTTTCTCTGATTCCTCTCGATCCTTTCCTTCCTTAAGGTTTCCTCCGCAACGACAATATGCCTATTACTTTTACAACAACCAAAAATCCACCGCGTGCATGGGGACTCCAGAGGGTAGCCAAGGTCGAAGATCTCTTCGAAAAGTCTTGTCCAAAAGAGCATAGCGACGGAAAAAAGTTGATCGGGAACTCATTTGCCAAAGACTTCTTCGACACATCCCACATCTCCGCATCCGAAAATGGCTTTGTCTGGGCCGTGTTCAACGCCTATAGTCATCACCACAACCTTATACTCCGACCCGAAGACATTTGGTTTACCATTCTGTCGCAGCTCAGTTTCTTCATCGTGGCACTTTCCGAGGAACTGCGACATCTATTCGTCTCGCATAAGGATTCAGTACACCTAAACATTATCACAAATGATACCATGGACACTGTGGACTTTGGTGAAATGGCGTTGGATATGACCAAACTAATGGAAGAGCATGTGGTGAATCCGGAGCTACGGAACTGGATTATGCCAGCCTTTAGCACCACGACTGCATCCGATGAGGTGGTGGCAGCTATATTGATGATGGGCTCTATGCAGAAGTATTTCTCATACCAATTTACCATCCGGTGCGGAATTCCGTCTGTCACTTTACTCGGCCAGCGTGAGGACTGGGCACTTATGGCAACGAAGCTTGATCAGCTAGCTCACCTAGGGGATGAGCCTGCTCGATTTGCTCAGCTTCTTCGACCGGTTCTTAACAACTTCGTTGCTGCCTTCGACAACCCCGAAGCACCGGATGTACTGAGCTTCTGGAGCAAATGTGCAGACCGAAGAGGCGGGGCAAGCGGGCCAACCTATCTGACAGGCTGGATATCGGTCTTTTGTTTCTGGGGTAATGATGGAAAGTTGCTTCACCCAGAGTCAATCTTTCCAGCATCCTCGCAAGACTTTAAGTTACGGGACACGAAGTTCGGTCTTGATGAGGCTTTGTCACGCTGCATAGACACAGAGAAAGTCCCTCTGGGCTATGTTTCCGTGCCGGTTCTAGTTAATAATCTTGGACACGAATTCGACGCTGTGATGTTGGCCGGGTTGATCGGCATACAAGCCACTTCGAGTGGAGCGATGCTAGATGGTTCTGGAGGCCATGATTACGGGCGAACCCTTCCATATTTCGTGGAAAATAACTACCAGATGAAACGCTGTAACGCGGCCATTCCCACTGGGCAACCTGGACTTGATTCGATTCAGCCGGTGTCCGGGTGGTTGATGTATGAAAAGAAGAAGCCAAAGTGTGCCAAAAAGAAACCAGTTCCCAAACCACCTAGGGTATTGGATTGGTCGTTGGCCAGACAAGACAAGTGAAGTGAAGTAAGTCATTGGGTCAGTTGGTTGTTTCTATTTGAATTTCGCTTTCGTTCAGAGTATTCATATTGCAATGTTCAGAAATCCCCAGGGCTATTCGCAGGGTTGTCTCAAATCAAGATTGAGAGTAGCCAAGAGATACAGGCACAATAAACCTATACTTTCCTTGCTTTGTGTGTTATATCCTCACTTGAATAGGAAATAGTCTAGCTTTGGATCGATACGTCTTTGACGGGATGTAGTGTAGTCAAAGTTCTCTCTGGATAAGTTCTAATTTCAACTCGCTCCTTGATGTCTTCACAAATAAAATTGGGAGCTCACATGAGGGTCTGGCCAAGGAATTAGAAAAGCAAGTCATATAAATGAGGACTGCAAGTAGTCGGCGAAACAGGTGGAAGGACCGGGTTTGGAGCTATCAGTGGTATAACTCTCAGAGCTACAAATTTAAACTACATAGAAATATGGTGGAAAAAAAAATCCTAACTAATCATACAATTCATCTCAATTCCTAGAGTAATTCGTCCGCCCCAGTTTCGCCTATTCCCAATGATACAAACCCAAGCCCGGAATTCAGAATTCAGAGCAGCACCTGGTGAAAAAGAGCCAGTGCATATGAAGTTCAAATAAATGATGAACATCCTTTTCAAAAAGCCAAGCAAAAATAGAGAGCACGCATGCGGTAGAGGTCAACAAATGGGGGAGGTTTAGGTGTTAGTGTAGCGCAAGAATCCGAGTCAACGGTGAAGGACAAAGTGTAGAAAATAAATCAGCGTAAGGGTTGGTGTAAGTATGTACAGATGAAGGTAATGTGGGGAGGAATAAAGGATTTGCAAGTGTATTGCAGGGAAGACATGTAAGCTCCTAGCTGGTCGCGGTCTGGGCTGCCGGAGCGTGTGGGCTCTTGTTGGAACCTTGAACGGCGCCAGCTTGGGCACTGCCGCTGCGCTGGTTTTGAGGAGTGGCGCTACGGCTGGGCAGGGGCGCACCACCGTTCATGGCGGGTGAGCTAGTCGGGCCGACGCGGTTCTGTTGAACGGGCTGGGGAACCCGCATCATTGGGGAGAACCCTTGGTTTTGAGGGACCTGCATTGCAGAACCACCGTTCGGAGTCTGGAAACTAGCCTCGTGGGGAACTTGGTAGTTGGCCTGAACGGAGTTTGCGTTGATGCTACCTGCAGCAGCATTCATCGCTGCTTGTTGGGACAAGCGTTGCTGTTGCTGTTGCTGATACTGGTTGAGTCGATCCGTGGCCAGCTTGGTCACTTGCTCGGGGGGCATATTCGGGTTCGTGCGTTGAATCTGGCTTTGGAGAGTGCTGATTTGAGGAACAACACCGCTCGAAAGAGGATTGGGCTGACCCATACGAGGTGATGGCGTGGAGACGCCTTGTGGTGTACTACCATGGAACGACGGACTCTGCATTCCCCCTTGGTTCTGGAGGGCAGCCATCATAGCAGGGTTATTAGGAGGACCATTAACATTCGGCATGCTCATATTCGGCGATCCCTGAGACCCAAATTGCGGGTTGTGGAATTGCTGGCCCTGCTGAGGGTGCTGCTGCTGTTGCCGAGACTGGAGAAGACGCTGCTGCTCCTGCAACCGATTGGCTTCTCGAATCACGCGCGTGTTATCAGGAGAGGCTTGCATTGGCAGGCCTGGCCGTGCCCCTGGTGTTTGTTGCATTTGAGCTTGCGGCATCATCTTCATGGCCATTCCATTAGGCATCTGGCCATTGGGCTGTGCGCCATTGGGCATGTTCTGCATTGGAAGGGGGCGGGCTTGATTGACACCGGCACTAGAAGGCATGCCATTTGTCATTCCATTCGGAGTCCCACCGGGTAGGCTAGGGTTGGAAGTTGGGGGCATGGTGTTGTTACGCCCCGGCACATTCATCATTTGCTGCTGGTTAGGTAATTGGCCGGAACGCTGCGCGGCGAGAGTAGCCTATATGGGGGATGAGCCACAGTGCTGTCAGGTAGGGACGTTAACAACCACTTACTCTTTGCTGCGCAATCATTTGCTGGCGGTACTGTTCCTGCCTTTCCTGCAGCTTCATCTCTCTGTCGTACTTCAACCGGCTGAACTCAGCCGGAGACGAGATCGGAGGCTTGGGCTGGTTAGCCTCATTGGCTTTTCGCAATGAAGCGAGATGGGAAGCTAAGAGATGAAATGTCAGTGGAGTTCTTGGCACAAGGTGACCTGCGTCTATTTCAAACATACCATGCTGCTGTTTCTGAAGCATAGTTTCTCGCTTCTTGGCCAGCTTTCGCATGGCATCAAGCAGAGCAAGATGCTTCGAAGATCGTCTCCGGTCAACCCGAAGAGGCTGAGTAGTCCTCCGGCGGACAGGTGGCTGAGGTGGAGCGTTGACGCCTTGCTGCTGCTGTTGTTGTTGCTGCTGTTGCTGGGCAGCCTGCTGCTGGGCCAAAACAGTGCGCTGGGCAGTCTCAAGCCTCTGGTGGTATGCTCGGAAGTATTGAGTTTTGGACATATCTGCAGGAAGACCTTCCAGTCCAACCCATCGTTCGAAACATTCCCAAGGAGTCCGTCTCTCGGCGCCAGAGGTGAAGAGCGACGACGGGGTAAGACAGCTGGAAATTAGAGACCAGTTGTAAGAGTACTCCTTGACCAAGCGTCGGAGTTCATCATCCTCACCGTAAGTCCATTGTGAGGACGAACGTGATTCAAAGAAACCAACAGAAGGCATGGGGTGTTCAGTCGGAGGCCGGAATTGATGACCAGGGTGAATCCGATCACGAATGGGCTTGTTCTCTGGTCGGAACAGCGCGACGTTTGTCTGCTCAGGTGCCAATTCGGTGATGCGATTGTCCGCATCATTGCCATACTGGGAGTAATCATATCGACTCCGTTTGCGGGGACGCTCGTCATCGTGGAAGCTAATCTTCGCCGATGCAAATTTCGACACTGGTAGCAGTTCCGTTTTCCAAACTGCGTCAGGGGAGACTTTGAATACCGGTGTGTTCGTGCCTTGGGAAATTTGGAGTGGTCCATATATTGGCAGCTCCTCCAACAGCTTTTCAGCGGCGGGGGTCATGTCAATTGAGAAGTTGAACTCATCCGAGCCCAAGGAGAAAATAGCAGCAGGAGCGACGGTGTCGTGAATATCATGCCGAGGCTCATCATTGAATCCATCACTGACTGATTCCTCTTCGGCGGATGGGATGAGATCTGGAGTGGGGTGAGAAACACCAAACATTTCATCACCAACGTCGGAAGATGGGCTAAGACCAGCCTTAGAGGGATCCTTTTCCGCCAGAGTTGACGTTGGAATCTTTGCTTGAACACGAAGTAAGGTCCGATGTTCCACGTCGCTGTTGACATATTCTGCGCACCAATCGGCACAACTCTTTGCAGCAGCAATCTTCCACTTTCTCTCCTCCCGGAAGTCGGTTCGCATCCACTTCATATGATCTAAAACAACGTCCCAATGTGTTCCCTGGCGAGGAGGTTCAACGGAGCGTTTTAATTGTCGCAATGGCCATCGGTTGGCATTCTGAAGAGCATAGATGCGCCGGAGAGTACGGCAATCCATCTGTTCTTGGTATTCAAGCAGATGATTGCTAGTGCTCAAAGTCTTATGCGCAGATGCCAACAGAGTATTGAGGTTTGTTCCTCGGGGAGGAGCGTATGCTCTGTTCAAGAATAACGTGAAAAGATAGTCTTGCTCCTCATTCAGCTTGGCAACTGCATCCATGTCTCGGTGCGTCAGCTCCATAGAGTCGGCTTTCTCCTGCTGAGTTGGCTGCTTGGGAAAAACAACAGTGGATAGTCGGCTTCTCTCCTTCTCACGCTCCTTCCGGTCCTTGAAGCGCATTCTTGCGACAGAATCAGGAGAGCCCTGATCAGATGGGGTGGCTGCGTGGCTTCTATCATGAGGGGTACTCTTAGGGGTTTCTCCGAGGATCTCTGAAACAGACTTGTGTCGTATAGCTCCCGATGATACCCGAGTCGTCATGCGCTCTGGTTGCGCTGAGCTAGGTTGCGTAGGTGGGATAGAAGGCTTTTTAGCCACGGGAGTCTCGACAGCGGAATCTGCAGTGGCCTCGGCCTGTGCGGTTGGTGACAACGAGTATTGCACAGTCGTCCCAGGTTCTTGTGATGGTTTCGCTTCAGACGAGACGGGAGCAGGTTCCTGGTCGATATCCATGCGATCTGTATCGGCACCGGTGTCCACGCTCTCCACAATCACCTCTTTCGATGAAGGTATGTCGGCGACCACATCATTCAAGGGCTTATCAGATTTCGACTGAGCTTCTTCGAGGCGCAATTGCTCATCTGGGGTCAAGGGAACCAAGCTCGGGCGAGCATGAGCAAATCGGTCATGCTTGTGTTCTGGGCGATCAATTGTCCCATTATCCTCAGTAACTTCTTCTGCGGGGCTTGTGTCGGGTGATGCGGCAACGGGAACAGGTGTATTATTATTGTAGGGGTCAGTGGAGGAGGCGGGTGATGGTGGTTGTTCGTGAGATGGTCCCAAGGTAAGAGAGGGTCGTGCTTCGTTTTTCTTTCGAAGAGGGTTGGAGGGAATCTCCAGTGATGGAACTCCAGTAGCAGCTAGCTTTGACACGCGGGGAGATATCTTTGCTCGATTCTCGTCATGCTCGTAGGCACTAAGCGGCGTTTCTCTTACCGGTACACTACATTTCTGGTCGAGGCGCGATGCGTCGAGTGACTGCACATGGATCGGTGGCACGTTGAGATCCTTTGGCAGCTTAGGGCTGATTGCTGGCACCGAGAGCTGATTTGTTCCGGTCGTATCCACGGGGGTAGGAGGAAGATTAGGTGTCGCGGTCCGAGGTTGGTCTAGAACGGGCGTTCCGCGCTGTTGAGGCTCAGTCGCATTCGGAACTACGCCATCGACCGTTAAGGGTGGAGTAACCCCGGCGACAGGTTCGGCACTAGTGCTGGCAGCTGTTGTCGGGGGAATCGCATTTCGACTTGGTGAGGGCGCGCGCGCATGGGCTGGCGTTGGAAGAGTA